CGAAAGCCATTACACTTGGGAAAAAAGTACTTACAGGAAGACAATCTCACTAAATCAGGATCCCTAGCACCCCCGGCTTTGTGTCAGCAGTGCTGCAGTCCTATACTGCTTTTAGTTTGCTCCCCGATGCGTTGGACTTAATGATGAGCTGAACCCCTCGCAACTGCGTCAGACAGCGGCACAAGATCGGCGAAACATGCGTGTCTGGGCTTTTAGCTACTACCACACAATTCTGTACGGTATTAAAAGGAGACCATATGGGGTTCATAAAATTGAGCAGTGGATTTGAGCCACATTTTTAACTTTCCAAGCCACGTTGGTAAATGCAGAGACATGACGTTTTTCGAAGGGTCATTTCATGGTATTAAAAAATTTCACGATTAGAAACTTTTTTAATATCAAATTTTACCCTTCCTTCGAGTGTAAAATTGAAAGAAGGCGTAATTTTCTAGTGAAGGAGCAAAAATTGAATATTTTTATTCCCCATGAAATATAATTGAATCTTCAAGGGCATCGAAATCAATGAAAAAATGCATGCTACTTAACTAGTCATTTTTGTACAGAGTATAGTTTTTCATGCGGCCGGAAAGAAGTTTTTTCGAAAGCCGGCGTCCTAGGGTAACTGAATTATTATAGAATTATGATGCACGATGATTGTTTTTACAACCCTACTTAATTAATCTTTTCGAAACGAAAACGCATTTCGGAATTTCTGTTTAGATTTCATGAGTTAGCCCACTTACTGTACTTTCCAAAACTGATTTATTAAGCCGGTGATTGAGCCGTGTCCCAGCATAGTCATTGCAAGCATCATTTCATGGAGGAGGGAGGGAGGAAGAATCTTTTCGAAAGCCACTACATTTGGGCAGAAAGTACTTCCAGGAGGACAATCTCACTAAATCAGGATCCCTAGCATCCCCCCGCTTTGTGCCAGCAGTGCTGCAGTCCTATTCGGCTTTTAGTTTTCTCACCGTGCGCTGGACGTACTGATGAGCTGACGCCCTCGCAACTGCGTCATGCAGCGGCACAAGATCGGCGAAACATGCTTGTTTGGGCTTTTAGCTAATACCTGTGTTGTTCGCACGGTAAATAGTTGCATAATTCTATACTATTGACTGGCTGTTGGTGGTTTGTGAATATTACGCCTTTATTCCGCAGTAGCTGGTGGATTTCAGCTCCAATATTCGGTAAGATATCGTTTGTTAGCCCCACTTGATGGACACAATATCATTGGGGTTGGGTTTAAGGGTTAGAGTTAGGAGCTATGGCTAGAGGTTATAGTTAGTGTTTAGGGATGGGGGTTCAGGATTAGGGGTTAGCGCAACTATTTCTCACCCATTCAAAGTACAAACACGCACTCCCAGTAGTTTTGCTTCTGCATACAACTACTTGACCTCATCGGCTGTGCGTTCCCCTGCCACACCTGTAAAAAACCCTATTACCACCGGTCCCGTATTAGCGGTGACTGGGGTTTTCTTCAGGTGGGGCTATCAAACCATATCCGGCCAAATATTCAAATCAATTTTCGGACTGTGCCTGAAAAGGTCTATTCCGAAAGCTTTACTCCAAGTTAACGCTTTAGTTTCTTCGGAAATGACACAAGGCAAATAATTCACTCCGTTGGATTCCGGTTTGCACGTGACGTCCCCGATCGATTTTCGCCGTCACCGATAACTGCGAATGTGACTTCCCGGCCGTCGCAGTTGTGTTATCGACCCAGTGCGCGTGAAACCAACAGCGCTTCGACTATGCACCGATGGTCTGCTCAGTTGGCTTGATGAAACAGCTGGTTTACTGGATGTCGGCAATTCTGCCCCTTTTCTTGGCTCTCTCAGATCACTGAAGGCGTGTCAACGACTCTGTGGATAACTAACTCAGCGTAGTGTTGTGTCGATTCGCCCATTTTCTGGCTTTTTAGTCATTGTTTCGACAAGAAACAACTACGCAGCTTCCTTTTTTATAGTTGCGAGGCCAGTGTTGGTTAACATAAGCCTGT